AAAAGAATTATTTGGCTTACCTATGAATGAGATAAAGCCTTGTATTTATAATGAAACAATATTACAGAATAGGAAACAGACAAAATAGGAAATGAAGAAAAAAAAGGTATTAAATCTGTGATTGATACAATCACAGATTTTATACACACTACCATAATTACAATATCACTATTTCCTAATTCCAACACTACCACAATTATAATATCACTATTTCCTAATTTCAACACAATCTCTGTCACAACACACAGTTAAACCGCCTGGGTTCAGGCAATTTGAGATCGTAGCCGGCTACACAACCAGAATCTAATTTACATATTAGTTCGGAGCCTTCATTCGAGTTCAAATCCCAGTTCGAAGGCCTTAATCTGTTTGAATCTGTCAGCAAACGAGGGGATTACCATCACGATCTGATCTCTCTTCTGAAGTTGAAGTTGAAATCACGATCTAAAGAGCACAAGACTCCGACCAGATTTTCATCGACTCCACTGGACGAAGGAGGGATTCTGTTCGTTGGTTCTGATTTGCATTTGGGTTGCAACACCTGGGCTCTCTTCAAGATCCCTGTTCTAGAGTTTTGGGCTTTCTTCGAAGTTGAAACCCATAATCTGCGAAGTTGACTTCCTTTTTCAGAAGTGAAGAATGCATCGTAATTTGAAATTGAAGAACACATCGCAACTTGGTTTTGCAACTTTGATTAAATCACCCAGGGTTCAAGATCGACCATTTTTGACTTAATCTGAGTCTTGTTCCAGCATCAATCTGAGTTTCGATTTGTGATCTGAGTTTGCAACTCAAGGAATCCAAATCTGGATCCATTTCAGATCGCCCATGAAGCCTTCTCAAGTTCCACCCAATTAATCCAAGAAACTTTTCAAGATCTGACTTGATTCCGAAGGCTTTAATTGAGACCAAAACTTGAATGGACTCCCTGGTTGAGATCTGAAACTTGCGAACAGCGATTCCAATTCGAGACCTCATGCGACTTTGATGTTCTAAGTCTGTGTGACTTCAATCTTTGATTTGAGTTGAGTTCCACTACACATGAAGGCTTGAGTTCAAATCTAAACTTTATTATTGGATTTTTGTTTTGATCTTGTTATACAATTTTGCATTTGAGTTGATTTCAACCTTCAATCCCTATGATTATCAACCTTAGTGAATCATTGTGTTCTTGGTGAATTGATTTCCAATTGGGGTGCGATTTTTTAGTTCTTTGATTCTTCAACTTTGTTGTCGTAATTCGAATCAGGTGGTTGGTTGGTGGAGATCCTTTCAAAATTATATTAATCAGTTGTTGTCTCTAAGTTTTGCTTGTCTAGTGTGAACTGAGTCAGATTGTTTCAGCCTTTATCCTTGAACTCTTGCTACTGTGTTGATACAACAATGGCCAACAGAGGCAAAGATAGAGGTAAAAAAGGCGGCTATGGTAGAGCATTTGTTGCAAATTTAGGTGACAAATAGAGATGAATCTTTCAATTGGAAGAAATGATGCAAATCCAAATCAAACTCATAATCAATAAGATGAGTTGAAACAAATGAGTAACAACTTGTGTCCTGAAAGAGGTACAATGACATTTTTGGAAAGCTTCAAAGAGTTAATTTGAAGCTATATTCAAAGTTGTTTGAAGCTTTATCATTGGGATTCCTTTCGTGCCTCTTTAGGAAGCTATTTTGAGTTGAGTCGGTTGCTTCTTGTGTGCTCAGCTCACTTTTGTGTCTGAAGAAAGGAGGAAAAGAAGGCATGCAATGCCGAATTCCAGCTCGTGAACAGTTTCTCTCAAGTTGTTCCTAGTGGATGCATAATCGATCCTGTCATCTTTTGGCACATTCTTCAACCTTGTTTTGGACTCTATCCTTTTGCTAGTCTATTGATCTCATTCCGATTGAATGAGTACATCTCTGCACCAACGTGCCAATTAGAGTTGATGGCTCAGGAAAATGGAGGTTTGTCCAAGTGTTAGCAAGGGGAAGTATAGACATGATGGGAGTTGTCACTTTGCACCTATGGTTGCTTAGCTAAAGAAGCAGATCGATGTATTCGTGTCAGGATGAGTTGTGAGGAAACATGTTTGTGTTGAGCATGGAGATGCAACGCCAATCCCTCGCTTAGGGATTCAATGCATGGTGTTACATTAAGCACACTTAGTAGCTACTTAAACTTATTAGTAGCTACTTAAACTTGAGGACAAGTTTCTTAAACAGGGAGAGTCTCATGTAATAGAATAAATAGGTTAAGTGTCTGTTAACTAGCCTATTAGTTGTAGTCTATAAATAGGTGATGTAATATTCCATTGTACTTAGTTTTTTATTAAAGAATATACATTGTGATTGGAGTAGAGCTTGGTTTCTCTCTAGCCCTTTGGAATTTACCCCTAATTGGGTTCTTTCTAGCCCTTAGGGGTTTACCCCTAATTGAGGCATTTGTCTTCTCTTTCTCAATTTGATCTTTGATTTGCATATGGATTGCATTATTTATACCACAGTCCGCATGTGGCGAGCCCTACGAGCAGCACATCACAGCCATCACGCTCCCACGAAGCAAACCTCCAAGATATCACAATCAGTTGGGGTCATGCCTAGCCTAAGCGGGGGCACACACACCACCAAATACAAGGCAAATGAGTCAAAGTATGAAGAGCCTAACATAGCTTGTGTAGCAGAGCCAAGCTCACTCACTTGGCAGCATCATGGCTCACCTAGAGCCCTTGCTCGCCATAGTCCTTCTTAGCTCATTCTAATAAGGGAACATGCTCTCTCCATACTCACTCCTGCTCAACGGTAGCATAAATAGGCCCTTGGCTCACCTTTGTTCATTTGGCAGCATAGCTGGGCCCTTGACTCACCCATGTTTACATGGTTGCCTAGGTTGGGTCCTTGGCTCACCTATGTGCTCGCCCACTTCACTTAATTACTTGGCTACCTAAGCTCAAAGGAGGGCCTAGGCATCCCCGCTCGGGATCATTGGAGGATTATGGATTGGAGGCTAAGACCATGGGTTTGTTAAAGGTTGCTTGGTTGTCTCCTGCAATGACAACTCCACCTTGACTAGCCTTAGAGAAAGCAGATGTTGACCTTATACTTATGACTATTACATACATGATACACTACTCCATATATCATACCTTCCTTTGCATGATGCAGCCTTCCCAAAGGCCTAAATCGTAAGATAGAGGAATAAGACTAATATCACCATCATGTTGAGTTAAAAAGAGCTCCCCACCTATCCAAACGTTGCTTAATGTCATGGCCTCAGTTATTTCCACGCCCTCCATGCAACACTGAGTCACTCACAAGCCTTGCTACTTATTCTAAGTCAACCTAACCCTTGAGCGCACAAGAGAGAGCAGCACACACAAGCGAGTTTGACAGAATGCTTGTATTGCTTGCAGAGAGAAAATTACACTCAAGTTGGATGTGAGGCAAATGAGCCCTCACTCTTGTTATAGGCAACCTAGCCTTCTAGGAATAATCTAGAATACACATTGCACGTGGTGTTTGGAATCTTTTTGGAGCCTTTCACAACCCTACGAGAATTGTGAACATTCTCTAGAACCTTCTATACAAATTCTAGAATTATGTACAATATTCTCACAATTTCTCCAGTCTTATAGGAACCTCTAGATTCTTCCATTATTCGTGTTCACATCTCATAGACAAACTCGCTGGTTCTTTGTTTGCATCTCATACTTGTTGGTTCTCTATTTGCATCTCTGGTTCTTTGGTTTGACTTTGAATCAAAATGATCATGGATCCGACTCAACCCATTTTCCAAAGTAGCTACAAACATTTATATTGATTCCCCTCAACGTTTTGAATCCTAACGTGTTCTTCATCGTTGATTTCTGGTCGGTGCTCGACTAACCAACATCTTCTCCTATCATTTAACATTGATATCTAACATTGGTTTGACCCAAGAGTTGTTGATCCGACCCAAACCATCTTATTCAAAAGTTGACCAGTTTCATGGGGGAAAAAAAAAAAACTAGGGTTGACCATCATTGACTAGCGTTGACAAGTAACTCGTAAGTTAGTTGGTTGTTTGGTTTATCTTACTATTACCCGTCCTGATTTTGTCTTTGTTGTTCATGTGGTGAATTAATTTGTTGTTGCACCTCGTTTTACTCATTGAGTTGCTCTGTTACCCACCTTGAGTAATATTTGTGTAACTATATTTTAGAGTTTATTGCTCTCATTTACATCCTTATTGACTCTTCAAGCCCATGTTGATTATGATTGGACTGGTGATATCTCTGATCACAATTCTACTATTGGCTTTTGCGTTTTTCTTGGTGATTCCCTTATTTCTTGAAAAAACAAGAAGCAATCTGTTATTACTCTTTCTAGTGCTGAGGTTGAGTATCGTGCTATGGCTTATGCCACTATTGAAATTGTTTGATTCCGTTGGCTTCTCTCTGATTTAGGTATTTCCTTGTCATCCCTTACTCCTCCCTATTGTGATAATCAGAGTGCTATCCAGAAAGCACAATTTGTTTGTTAGCAGCTCCAATTGGGTACTATTGACCTGTTGTTTGTCTCCTCATCCATGCAGCTTGCAAACTTCTTCACCAAGACTCATACTTCTGCTTATTTTCGATTTTACTTGACAAACTCTCAATGCTCACCGGACTTGAATCAAGAGTTTGAGAGAGGGTGTGAAATGTATTTTGGGTATTTTGGTTACTTTATACTTACAATAGAGGGGGTTATTCTTGTTTTACTATTTATAACTTTATAATTGATTGTTAGATGTATAATCGAATAATACACTTTGTTCTATTTTTTTCTCATATTATGTCACAGATATAATGACGATTTATAGTCAGAGTTGAATTTTATTGCTCCTAGTTATTGTGTTGTAATTCTGATGCATGACCAGATTCTCATAACAGTAACAAATGAATAATTGAGAAACTTAGATTTAGTGAGCATCTTTTTGATCAATTTAAAAAACTTCAGCCAAGGGAATTCAGCTGTACTCTGCAATTTTCTATACAACTTACATTGGCTTCTTCTGAATGAAGATTGAATTGCGGCTCTATAATGTTCACCATGAAATGTCGAGTCCCCTCCTCAGAATCATCATTGCTTCCATTCTTTGCTGCTGGTAAAGCAAAATTATTCCTCCTCAACAGAAATCTTTTGTAATACAAATGCTCACAGGAAATTAAATAAATGATTGCCAAATCTAGCTGGAAATATGCCAATAGTTATTGCATTGGTGTTGATATTCAGTGTATAATAGCATAACGAAATCAGATATGCACAATATAAAGAAGTGTCTCGACATAGCACCACATAAATACATAAAATCCAAAATTGAAGTCTTGAAGACAAATTTTCAGTGTTTTCTAAGAGCTTACCAACTGCACCAGAAGATGGATTTTCCAATACAACTGTGTTCTGTGGAGAAGACAGTGATCCTGAAGTCTCTGTAAGCTGTGAAGGGGGCTTTGATGTATCATCTTGTTCGGTTGAAGTGGGCTTTGATGCGTCATCATGAGGCATTTCAGGTTTATCAACTACCTGCTTGTCCTCAAGCAACTTCCTCTGCGTGTACTGCCGAGAAGGAGAAGGCTTTGGAGGTGCAAATGCCTTGGATATTCCACCAACCCAAGACCAAACAGCATTTCTATTCTCAAGATTCCATAAAAGCTTGAGGCCATAAATAAAAATGCGTTGACAGTTGTCAGCTATCACCACATTATAACCATCATCATCACTTGGATCAGATCGTGTATGCTCGTCACTGTCACTCCCTTTTTCAAACTCAGACCTGACATGCATCATCTCAAGATTTCTTCTTCCGGCCTCTTGCCATGCTAATAACCTAGCAGGATCAGCCTTTGGGGTTTGCCGTCTGATTGTAAAATAATCAGATGACAACAAAAATCCATCATCACGATGCTTCTCTGTGCAGCTGCTCATACAGCCAGATTTCTCGTTTGTAGCTGTGTCCATGGACGCAGATTTTGAACTTTTTCTTGTCAATTGAATTACTTTTGCAACACTTGTGCAATCTTCTTTATTTAGATATCCTTTAGGCATGTGAAGGTCAAGACCCTGGTAAACAAGATCAAGAAGATCACGCTTGCATTCAAATGTATATTTTTGCTTACCCCGACTGAAACAGAGTTCATATTTCATCTTTGTCATCTTAAATGTCAGTCCTTTAGCCGGATCATCATCATCTAGAGGCATGTTCCTTATACATGTTGGAGTTGCATCAATGCGGAACATAAATTCTGTCATCACCTTGTCTAATGACAGATTGCCTGATCTAGGAATTCTTGGAACTCCATAACGAGGCCACCGTGAAAAGGTCCGTAACTTTTGAGGAGGAATGTAATTCAAGTTCCAAAATTTAATCAACCATGCAAAATCATGAGCACCAACTATTACGGTTGGTGAATCAATTGAAATATTCTGTGACTTAGATATAGAGCCATCCAGGGCAGCATCGTCTCCCATGGTGGAGGATTGTGGTTGACTCTCATGTGAGGGAAGAGAGGGCCTAAGTGAGAAATCCCACCTCAGGGAGAGAGATGTAGATCTAAAGGGATCAAAAACTTTTTGACGAGGTACACCTTCATTCGGGAGTGCAAACAAGTAATGATTCATGGGATTGCCTGAATCACATTCCCAATCCATTGTCACTTCAAGAGTAAAGACCGGGGCCTCTAGGAAAGCATCTGACCTGCTTCCAGTAGGAAGTTTTAAGCTGCAGTTGTTTAGCATATTCTCCAAACTGCTCAAAAAAATCTTAAAATCCTTCGCAGACATATAAACACGACCATCTGACTGCTGGATTTCCATATGGCCAGAAACAATTTGAAGTTTGTCACACTTTTCGTAAGGATCAGTTGTGGCAAGAACATTCCATCTGGTCTCAGACATGCATAAGCTGATATTCCCATGAATGTAGTTTCTCATCTCATCCCACCATGGTAAGCTTTTTTCCTTTTTTGGCGGCTGATTATCTGTAGCATTAGGATTCCTAACGCTTAGATTAGCCCTGCGAAGAGCTACTGTGAAAGCATAGCTGATATCAGTAAAAGATGGCTCAACACCCACTCCAAAGCCAACTTCTGCTTTCTGAAAATGTATGGGCAAATCTGCGAATGTTTTCATTGGTGGAGTAGTGCCACTGAGTGAACGAAGCATGCAAACCTTCCTCCATCTCCCAATGAACACATCTTGGCAAATTTGGGGCTGAAAGCATGTCGCCTGCAATTGAGGACCACTCAATCATATGCTCTGTCAAGACATCCATATTCATGACTCAACACTATAAAAAGAAACTCAATCTTTGAAACAAAGTTTGAATAAAAGCTCCAGTGTCTCGAATAAAATTGTATGAGCTTTCAAATGTAGAAAACTCAACATGGAAAGTTTTGCCAAAGTCACCACTTCATTCCAAAGTGTGATTCATTTTTCATTTGGAGAACTCCAACCCAACTTTAAAGGAAATTTGCATGACATGAAATATCTCACATGTAAGTTACTTCCAATTTTCAGGTGTGCATGCCAACAGCTTTCACTAAAACCAAAAAGATACCAGTACAGCAGTCAACTTCGTTTTTTTCCATTAATTTTGAAATTAAAATATGAACACTTTTAGGAAGTTTCAGCACACTGATATGACACAGAAGAAAAGAAAATGGATAAAAATTACAGAGAAGATCCACACATAATTTCCCCCCAAAATCTCATGAAAATACTAGTGCATATGTTAATATATATTAAAAATAAAGCTAGGGGGAAAAAAAGAACATTCCACTAGTTGCTGTCATTATTGTTGCAAAATGTAATTTCATAAATGCCTCTGATTAAGATGACTGAAGTGCTATCAGTGATAAAGGAATGATAAAATGCTTAATTTAAGCTCTGGAGGAATAGCGGTTTGTTTCTTTCTCTGCCTTAGCTTTGTCAATCAAGAGCATATGTACTTCATTAGATGATGTAAACAACAGATAATATGACAACCCCAAATAATCTGACTAATATGGCAATAAATGAAAAAGGTAATCTACCCCTTAAGATTCAATTGACTTTCAACCAAAATGATCTAATTTTCAACTAAAATATGCTTCAAAAATGTAGGGGTAGGAACATAATTTCCAGGTTCTTTAACTCCATTTCCCAACAAACTCTGACACACGAATTCAGTATCATTCAGGGGGGTCTTCCATATTCACAAGAATCATACAGGTAGATCTCCACATGGTAATTGGGAAAATCCACGAAAAGGAAAACTGGGAAAGATAAAAAAATAAAATGGCAAAGAGAAGAAAATGGACAAGAAACCAGCATTGAGAACAGACCTGTTGAGCTAACACAATGCGACCTTCACATCTACCAGAAGTTGCAGAGAAAAGTGGAAACGTGTAGTTTCTTAACTGTGCAACAAGAGAGCCCGCATGCAAAACAATATTACTGCCATAAAGTCGAGAAAATGGAATGTCATATTCTCGACTTACAGGATCAAGCTTCTGTATAACCTCTATCATCCCAGAATCACCACCTTCAATTCTTGTCAAGCTTACATCTAACTCTGTCGCATAGATAGAAAGAAGAGTAGTTCTGGCAGTGCTAGGCTTGAAACCAGCCTGAAACCCTTCCTTACAAGCACCTGATCCTTCCGATAGCAGAAGATTCTGACATGCCTGGTAATACGACCGGAATGATTGCTTATAAATCTCTTCTTCCATTTTCTGAATAGCTGAAGCATCTTGAACATCAATTTCCTCTCCATTATAAAGAATCTTGCCTTCCTGAGTAGAATCCACTGTTTCAGCAGTTTCAGGACATTGCCTGCCTTTGGAAATAAGTTCGTTGAGAAACTTCAACCTGACAGCTAATTCACAAGCCTCATTCTTCATCAACTGATAGTGTTCATCAAGCCAACCCTGTAACGGTTCTTCCTCAATGTCAGCAGTTAATTTACGTATGCAAAACTTCACACATCCAAATTTTGTTGAACTAGGCTTTTTAGGTTTTTCACTTTCTTTCTTTGTTGGAAATATCAGTTTGGTTTTAGCGGCAGTGACAAGTTTCAAAGCTCTCAACATTTCCTCAACAGAATCATCAATGGCACGCAACTGCAACCTGAATGGAATGCAAATTTGGACATCAAGGCCTCGAATAACCCAATCCCATGTAGGGCCTGCCTCAAGTTTCATGTCAGATGAACCACTAGAGACATTAGGAATGCGAGAAATTTGCATCCGGCTACTTTTAAATACTCTAGCTTCATTGAAACTGAGCATAAGTCCTTCAAGAAGTACTCCGATAGAGGCATTCTCAGAAAAAATTGATTGAACCTGAACCATGACATCAACCCCATCTCCAGCCTCCGCAGATATGCTCAGCATTTCAACATCAATAGCTAAAAGAGATTCCCTTTTCTTGTTTTGTTTTTCATATTGTATCGACTCTACAGAGGTTTCTTTCTTCTGCTCATTACCTCTAACACTCGAAGTGTCTTCCATATGATTGTCATCAAGTCCTTGAAGCTTCTGATTCTGTACGAGTAACTTCACATGTAGCACAAGCTCAAATAATGCTATGTGCACATCAGGCTCCCACCTGACTGTAATATCAGTAGCACTAAAAAGAGAGCAAATAGCAATATCTTTAAGACCACCAGATCGGCGCACAAACTTCGCATTCTTCATGTCAAACAATGCCACTTTTGTCCCTGGCCTATCATCTTCCACATATTCCTGATAGATAGATCTTGCTCTTTCAAGCTCCACCTGCATGGACTGTTTCTCCTTGTTCATACACAGACTGAAATGGAAGATTTCAAGAGATACAGAGTACTTCAACTTCTTGCACTCATCATAACTTGTGGACATTATGTTTGCAGTGCGTGGTGTCCCATCAGCTGAGACACTAATTATAACTCGACCACCTTGAGATCCATAATTCACCCGTTTGGGGTCTGCAACAACTGTGTTCTCCAAGCCCACATCACCGCTGAAGTTTACAGAGCATCTTTCAAGATTAAATTTTAAGAGTTGAATCCCCTTCCCTGACGGTTTGGATGAGTTCCCTCCTCGGCTCATTGGTGGTTTTTTACTAGAAGCCGATAAACTTTTCAACAAAGATTTAAAGGACATAGCCGTTGATATTAGGGACTCAATATGCTTAAAGGTCAAGAAAATACCCATACTAGTCATATCAATAGAGAGAACTAATTTACTCTTAGGAGCATCTTCTTCAAGTGATTCCATGTCTTTTTTCCCCCAATCTAGGCTAATTTTTCCAAAATGCATTAAAGAACCCGTATTTGTTTCCACACCAAACAGGCTTTCTTTTGAGCATTCTTGATATTCATCAGCCATGTGTAAATTTAGTGCACCAAGTTCCATGTGTACTGAAGTGCCTGTACTTGAAATGTTATTGGCAAACACGTGTGCTGATTGCAAGCAACCCTGCATTAGGAAATATAAAATGTTGAAACAATCACAATTTAATTTAAACTCACAACAAAAATGAAGGGATAATATTTGGACGACTACTTCATGAAGCATGGAAACTTATGATTCAAAAATTAAAACATGAGATGACTATTTCATAAAACAAGTGTATTCACATCAGATCTAAAAATGTAGAAATCACTTAACCTATGCAGAAGACCAAAAAATTGCATTAAAATGGAAAAAAACTATTCTTACAGAAAACTTTGTACACAATTTTCTACCAGAATGATATAGAGGTGGCATTTTTGCAATTAAAAGTCATTATGGTGGGTTCTTTGTCTTGAAATGATAGGCCCACAATGCAGCCACATCATTTTGTACAAATTTTCTGTACATTTTTCCTGTTTGTATGGCATTACTGAAAAACAGAATGTCCCATGCACATATTGCACCACACACACACACCACACACAAACAAAACAAAAAAAGAAAAAAAGAAAAAAGAAAAAAGGAGGCACTGAGGTCCTATAAAGATGCACAAGAAAATGGGAAGTCCAACTCTGTAAAATATCATTCTTCATGTGGCACTCTTTTTTAAAAATTTTGGAAATTATCATAACTTTTTTAACTAAATAATTTGATCCATGATAACAGCATCAGCATGCAAATCTCTCAATTTGGACCATAATTTCATACATAGGGAAACCATTCAAAGCTCACACAACCTCTGTTTGTGAAATAAGACTTGTAATTATCCAAAACATTTGCACCTTAGAAGGATCATACAAAATCACCCACAACTCTACTACATGGTTTTAAATCCAAATAATTGAAATCAAAATAAATTATTTATTAAAATATGTACATCCATCAAATAATATATATGATTGAACTATCTTTGTATGGTACTTACATTGCTAATATATAGATCACATAATATCTATTCTACTGTATGTATATATATTTAATATGCATATGAATGAATGTATGTCTACATACAAATGGATCACATCAGATTACATGATCAAGACATCAAATGACAACCAAATCAAAATCCAAACATATGTTAAACTTTCCATAATCAAATTCCAGAGCTTAATTTTTTACCTCAGTGTCACATGAGCCAAGCTTGAGCATGGTTAAGATAAGCTCGAGCTGGTTCATAAACAAGACAGTTGATAGGTATTTGTTTAAATCCTGGTAGTTTAAAGGTCATTTATAGAATTTATGAATATATGAGTGATTGCTACTTGGTATTTTTGCTTAGGAAAAAAAACAATTTGAATAGAGTACAATATGAAAACAACACTTTGTTTTAATTTAATTTTTTAATAATTAAGCTTTCATTAAGTAAAGTAATCAACAGAGCACCACCTGTACAAATTTTAAGAAAAGAAAACAAAAAAAAAAACTAACAAATGTAACTTTACTCAAAAGTTTCAACGAAGTCCCAAAATTGATTCAAATTTTTATAGCATTGAGTGGTTATCATGTTTTAACCTTTCACACATGGGTAGCATCCCTTCTGATGCTTTTTAATCCAATTAATTTACTTATCAAAAATTTAAAAACTTATCATTGTTTTCCACCACATTTAGCTTCCCATCTGACGTGGCACATTCTTAGATGTTGGATATTAGTGGGTTCATGTGAGACCTATTACACCAACGGATATGGATGTACACCACATCAGATGGTAAGCTAAATGTGGAAGAAATAGATGGTGTGTTAGCATTATTGAAAATTAGAAATTGCTTCTTCCTTCCCATCAAAACTCCTCTGCTTTCATTCTCCTCAAATAATCAATGCTAAACACAAATGCACCAAAATACAAGCCTTTGGTTGAAGGTTAACAGAGGAACAAATAAAGTACAATACATATAATAAAGAAAACATATAGAGAAACCGCCTCTGCTCAAATTAGTCTATTTTGTTTCAAATCTGACAAATTCTCTTTTTGTATTTCATCAATTTGACTTTCTCAATGCATTCAAAATTTGGATACTGTGCAACGGGATGTGCAGTACCAATACATTTAAGCTAGCTAACAAGCCAAAACCTTGAATGGCTCATGAATTAATCTGAGAAAGATAGCTAGAGTTGGATGGCTTGTAATGTGCCTGACCTGAGTTTGAGCATAATTTTTTCAGCCACGCTGAGCCTGCACACCTTGGTGCTCAGCTCAGATTGGTTCATCTGTAACTCTAGTTGTCATTGTATAAGCATAAACCATATTAGGAAAATTCATTCATCTTGTCCCCTATTGATGCTAACTTTCCCCCTTCAGATATAATCAACCCAAGATAATGGAAACAATCTCATTTTACAGGAATCTTCAGGCCTCCAATTTTGATGATCTGTTTTTATTTCTATTGCCACTCAACTTACACACTATATTCATAATCCTGCTTATCGTCAAACCTATTAAGTCTGATATCTCCATATTTCAATTAAATTTTAAACCTGCAGTCACATTTTATCAATTCATACTTAGCACCAACAAACAACATAGGGCACATGATTTTTTTTTTTTGATGAATAACATAGGGCACAGGATTTCATGATGAACATATCCAAATGTCCATCAAACAACCAATGGAGAAAAGATAAGAGCACATTGCTGATTGCTAGTGACAACAAACAGTAATGTAAATGTATGTCACCCGGAAATCTCAAAAGTGCTAATTATGGAGTTGCCACTATGTGAAATTTTTATCTCCAATTTTGAATTAGAAAACGGTTACTTGGAGACTAAGCTACCACTGCCTGGACAGAAGTTTACACTTTGGCATTTGAAAATTTAGCTGTCATTGCCGAAAGAACTACGGAGCTTAATTCCTTCATTTCAACCTCTAAGCTATGGGTTCCGAAATATTGCCTCTGATATCCCAATTGATTGAATCAATGAACAGATACTAATTAAAGGATTTGCAAATAAACATGGGATGTTAAAGATAGAGCACAATATAATGTTCTGGATGAAGGGACAATTTTCCATTACGCAGCAAAAATAACAAAATAATGAAGACATCACTTACATGATATAGGGGTGAACCTCTCAGACTATAAAGAACAATAGTCATTTCTGGTGCTGAAACTGTACAAGTCCACATGATCACTTTGGATTCAGTTGACTGCGGCCTGTGGGGATTAGGATTTCCATCTTGAAGCACCATTTTTTTCCTTTTTGAGGACTGCAGTTGAATCCATGGCTTTAGTCTGCTCATTATAATGTTGCACTGAGTACCCCCAAGCTTAAAATCAATTTCAGATCTGATAGGTAAGGTAGGCTGGAAAGTAAACATCCTACATAAGTAAATAAAGTAATGCAGAAAATAAAAAACCCAAGGTTTATTCAAAAGTTAACGACTCCATATCAATAATGTGTAATGTGTATATATATATTGATGGTCCAAACAGATAAATAGCAGAAATTTGAGTCAAACAACTAATTATTTGATAGCTGCACCGGGCTGTCTATATTAGCTTTTTACATGTGGCTAACCTCTCTCAAGTGTAGAATTTGACTGAAGTAATGCATATCAAAGACGTAGAAATCGCTGCTTGAATTAAAGAAACAATTTATTTTGAACCTGCGTTCTGAATTGGCAAGAAAGTGCACCTAAAATTTAACTCAATAAAACTCAACAGACATAGTTAGAGTATTTGATGAAATAAATAAATAAATAAAAGATTTTTAACCATACTGTTAGAACATCTCCAACGGTGAATCAGATTTTTCACCAAATTTGAGTAAAAAATGACCCATTTTACCAAATTTGATACCACTCGCTCCAACGGTGCACTTTCATCAAATTTGTGCCGGGGACAACCGGTTGGTCGACCCGTTAAGCAAAAAAAATTTTTTTTTTGAACTTTTTGAACCTTTTAGTGGTCGACCGGCTGGTCGACTGGTTAGGCAGAATTTTTTATTTTTTTATTTTTTTTTACTGTTTGAACCTTTTCTTCGAACCGTTTGAACCTTTAAGCGGTCGACCGGTTGGTCTCTCCCAACGGTCAGGAACAACCGACTGGTTGACCGGTTGGTCTCTCCCAACGGTCAGGAACAGTGATTTGGTGAAATGCTTCGCCTGTTCTCGTTTTGGTAAAAGATTCGCTGAATTCTCGATTTGATATTGATTTGGTGAAACCGTTGGAGCTCAAAAAAGTGGCTTTTTCATCAAATTTTGAATTTGATACCAGGTTTGATGAACCGTTGGAGATGGTCTTAGCTGTCCTGATTGTAATGGATATAGCCAATTGAAATATCACATGTCAATGGTATAAAGGAGGCAATCAAAATCTTTGTATATACAAAAACTCAATATTTATTCTTCATTTTTTTTTAAAGTAAGAAAAAATTTCATCAAAGAGAGTCAAGAGGACGCAACCTCTAAGTATACACAAAAGCTAACCAAAAAATATAGACCTTCCCCAAAGCTAAGCTCTTCTTGAAATCATTTTAAAAAAAAATTAATTAATTAATTAATTAAATTAAAATTAAAAAAGATGAGTCACAACACTTCTCCAACAGCCAAAGATGAAAACAATGCAGTAAAGAACATTTTAGCATATAACTCGCTGTATGCACACCCTCAAAAGTTAACCTACTCCTGTCCCTCCAAACGCATCACATCAATTCCATGCCTTCCTCAACCTCTTAGACTGGCATCACACTGCCCATGACTTAAAAAATGGAGGCACTAGTTGTGCAAAACCCAAGATACTCCAAAAATTGAAAATGCTGGGCTCCACAAATCCCTTGCCACATGAGAACATAGTAACAAACACGTGACTCACTGGTTCAGCCTTCAAACACATGCAACACCAATTTATTTGACTCAATTCAAATTTCAATTAGGCAAGCTACGAAGAAGAATTTCAACTTACTGTCAAATTGGGAGATTTGTTTTTTCCCTTTCAATCTCTTTCTTTTTTTTTGGTTTTTGGTTTTTTTGTTTTGGCTAGTTCAGTGGTTAAACTATCAACTTGAGGTTGTGGGTCAAAGTCTAAGGGAAGCCACTCTGTCCAAATAATGAGCCAAAAGTTAGGTCTGTATTCAATCTACCCCTCACGGACTAAATTGGACATACTTTTTTTGTTGGGCAATCTTTATTATTTTTAATTAGACGAGTACGGAAAAAACAGGTTCAAGACCAAGTACTATTTCCCATATTACCCACTACCTTATGCAACCTAGTTGATACAGGATCCTTGAGACCATCATTTATTGATGCATGTTCAAGAAATTAGTCTTATTAGAAATCTTTAAGCCTCCGTTTGGGAAGTGGGTTGGCTTTTTGGCTTTTTTGGCCTGGGCTAAAAAGTTTGGTTTGGGAAGAGCTTTTTGGCTTTTTGGCTTTTTTTGTGAGAGAAGAATGTAATGATTATGGGTTGGATGAGATATTTTGTTTTTTGTGGCTAAAATAGCCTATTTTGTCTTTTGTGGCTAAAATAGCCAAAAAAAACCCCGTTTAGCTCTTGCCAAAAGGAGCCTAAATAACATTGCTGCATTTTCATAATATTAGAACTTTTCAAAGGCATAGGTTTTTCTTTATATATAATTAAGCATATTATATTAAAAGAGCATCAAAAGGGGATGCTAAGCAGGTACAAAATTTAAACCAAAACCTATACAATCCAAAACAAACTTGGCCTATTCTCTCAAAAAAAAAGAAAAGAAAAAAACATAGATTCTTTCAAATGAAGAAAATCTACAAAATCAACAATACAATCTAGGTTAGGCATTACTCTCCATAAAAACCAATTATACAAAATGCGAAAGAGAATATATATATATATATAACCTTTTAGTATGTAATGGCCCCCCAACTCTTTTGACAGGTCATCCTATTTCACTCTCATCAAAACAACCACATTAAGCACAAAGGAGCTACCAACCCAGCCTTCTGTCTCTACTTTCCTACATACCTTCCCACTATCAAAACTTCAGGACTCTCGCCACATCCATATGAAAAACCCAATTCATTCTAAATAAAGCAACACCAATTTCCACATATCACTAGTCATCTTGTAATGAATAAACAAATGATTGACCAACTCCCCATATGTAGACTGACTCCCAACTCTTACATATGCAACGCTAATTAACAATAAATTGCTGTCTCTTAATGAGGTTATCAACTGTAAGAACCTTCTCATGTGATGTATTTCACATAAAAGAAAGCAATCTTAGACGAAGCCCAACAACAGGTCAAATGCCCTTCCAAGGAAAACTCACCCCTCTACTTCCCAATACAGCCCTATTATCTCCAAAACACATCCTACCCTGCAAACAGAGCAATAGGCCCCAACTCACACGATAATATGCCTTCTCAACATCCAACTTACAAACCACCAAAACTACATCCATAATTCGACGACCCTCCACAAAGAGAATGTGAATTTGAGACCGCCAATGCTTCTTTCAATTGGCTTGCCAACACTTTTTCTACCTTACTATGAAGCTGTAAGAATATAGTGTATCTTCTCAATTTGGCATGATTGTGTATATTAGGAATTAGGAATTAGAAAAGATTGTGGTGTAAATATTGGAATTAGCTGTATTTCCTTTTTCAGTCATAGGTTTAGGATTATATAAACTGATGAACTCTTTGTAAATATAGACAATTGAATATACATAAATTCTTCAGAATTCTTACATGGTATCAGAGCCATTCTCTGATCTAAAACCCTAGAGTCGTCACCACTGTTCTTTTGTCCGTGCCTTCCTTCTCTCAGGTTTACTCTGGTTCGACTTGGGTGTGCTTCATTCTCTGATTGTTTATGATAGTCGACACATCTGGATTTTTCGTTCGAGGTCTTCTCTCTGTTCGTGACACCTATTCGACTTATCTAGCTGACTCAATTGTTCAACTCATCTGTTTGGCTCGTCGACCTCTGTCCTTTCTCTGGTTCGCGATTGTACCAGTTTTGGCCTCTCTCTGATTTCGTTTCGAACTTTGTCTGGACTCCCTAGATGATTTTCACCTATGTTCCTCTGGTTCATGATCATCCAAAAAATCTCTCTACCTCTGGTTCACATGATCGAAATGGTGTCCGACTTTGTCCCTCACAATCGCCTTCGACTCTCGTCTCTCACGATTGGTTTCTTTCTCTCTCTCTACTTCTGGTTCTCGGCTCTGAGTTAATATTTGTGGGTCTCTGGGTCTCTAGTTAATATTTGTGGGTCTCTGCTTTGGTTATTATATTTTGAGCCCACCTGGTCATGATTGGTTTGCTTGGATCTTCTTCAGGTATCTCTTCGTCTGTCCGGATTTTTGACTCTAGTGTCTCTCATCATATCACTCCCGTTTTCTTCTTACTTCAAAATTGTACTCTCTTTCCCCATTCCTATTACTGTTAATGTTGTTAATGGGTCTGGTATGTCTGTTCTATTTGTTGTGTCTGTCTTACCGTCTGTTATATCCGTTGTCTCTATTCCATTTGTCCTTCATGTTCCTCAGTTATTTGTCAGTTTACTATCTATCAGTCAGCTTGACGCCTCCGATTTTGATGTTATCTTTTCTTCTTCTATCTGTTCTATGCAAGATCGGATGTCCAAGTAGCAAATTAGGACTGACCGTAGAGTTGAAGACCTCTATGTGGTGGAGAGCTTGCATCTACCTGTGATAACCTCTCTAACTGCCTTTTCCTCTTTTCAGTTAGATTCTTTGTCTAGTCCTTTCTACTTGCGGCCTTCTAGATTAGGACATTTGTTTGCTGACCGTTTACGGTCTTTAGCTCAATCGGATATATTGGATAAAGTTTCTCCTAGTGAACTTACTAAATGTCGGGGGTGTAAACTTGCCAAAATGACAACCTTACCTTTTCATAAAAGTACTTCTATATTTGATACACCAGTTTTGTTAGTTCATACTGATATTTGAGGCCCTTCTCCTGTTCTCACCAAAAGTGGTTCTGCATACTATGTGTCATTTGTTGACGACTGCACCCGTTATACTTGAGTTTATCTTATGACTCATAAGTCCGATTCCTATCAGATATATCGTACCTTTCAGTCTATGATTACTACTCAGTTTGGGTCTACAATTAAAGTGTTACGGTCAGACTTGGGTAGGGAATATTTTAAAAATGAGTTCTGTGAGTATTTGGCCAATTTGGATACCATTCACCAAACTTCCTGTACAGATACACCTGCCCAAAATGGTCGAGCCAAGCGTAAATACCGTCATCTCCTTGAAACAACTAGGTCTCTTCTCTCTGCCTCAATTCCGGTTCCATTTTGGGAGGAGGCAGTTCTTACTGCTGCTTTTCTTCTCAACCGCAT